GGCCACCTAACTCCCCCGATTGCAACCCTTTGATTATTATGCACGGGGCAAGAGACCAACAAAACTCCTTGTAATGCCAAAGATGAACTGAAGGCAAGGATCATGGCAGCATTCACCAACTTAAACAGGGAGGCCGTCCAGAAGAGTTGCAGGAGATTCCGAATTCGTCTGGAGGCCATGGTTGAAGCCAATGGCGATTTTATTGAATAAATATATTCAATAATATATAATATTTCAGGATATTTTTCTGTAATTTTATGATTGAAGTTAATGGGGATTTTATTGAATAAATTTTCTCTTTAATATTTTAAGATATTTTTGTGTAATGTTGGTAAATATATCTGTGAAAATGAGATGTCAGTGTTATTTTCAGTTTGGCGTCATTGACACAACAATTTACCTATCGTTCCCTGTATTACACTCATTGTAAAAAAATGACTGAAAATTCTACAAGCTATGATGTTGCAAAATAAATAACCTAACATTTGATAAAACATCTTTCTACATAGGAAATCCTATACTGAATTGTGTATAAAAAACGAAACAAAGAAATAACAAATCTAGACACTCCATACAAGATTTCCCGTTTCCCGTTAAAACATTACATATGACGTCACTTCACTTTGAAAGAATTCCAGCTATAATTCCTGCAATCAAAAAACGGCAGAATGTAGTCAAATAAATTGTTTTAACAGAATTTTTTGGCGGAAAAGATAATGACTTTTCAGGTTGTCAACCGCTAAGAATTGGCAACTTATTTAGAATTTGTAAATGCCTCAAAGTGCCTATAAACTTAGCATCGGGATATTTAATTTCAGAGGACATGCAAAAAAAAAAAAAAAAAAAAACAAAAACAAAAGAAAAGCAGTAATTATTTGACATTATTTTGTTAGGTATAATATTGATGTATGTTGTCACCAAGAAACCTAAATCAAAGAAAACCTTATATTAAGTAATAATTTAGCAAACCATTATTTTTAGGGGAAGTTTATCTAATGTTTGACATTTGGGGTCAGATGTAAGCCATAATAGGAAAGTTGATTTTCGATTGGCTGAGAAAGCTTGGGAAAAATAGTTAGGAAAAACGTTTCGGTGAGTTGGTTCTTACCCGTCAAGCGATGTAGACGTGTTCTCTTTCGCGTTTGAAACGGCTCCCCAGTGAAGGATCGGCTCTTACTTTAAAGTTAGATAATGTACATGTCGACAGGAATAATAAAAATAGTTAAGTTAAAACTTGTTGTGTTTGAAGTATTTCATTGCTGAACCAAAATATTTAGCGATCGCCAGCTGAGAGAAGACGAGATGAGACCACGATCATTAGTGGAGATGCTATGCAACATTTGGTACTAATATTTTTTTTCGAAACCAAATGAAATAATAAATACACAGAAGACAATGGGCAAGTACCCAGAGCATTCACTTACTGGGAGAATCCTTTCTCTGGTAGCTGCATGGTTTGTTACATTTACGAGCGTCCCTACCGAAGGTCTTGTAGTACCAACAGTGCATCTTCTCTATTATTTCTGTAGATGCTGTTGCTTCGCTTATTAAGATTTCTGTATTCCGGGTGATTGCGTCGACACAGTTGACCATTTGTTTGGTCAACTCAGCTGTTGCATCTTTGGTTTGGTTTCGTTTGTTTTAAGGAATATCAACTTCCAAGGATTATTTAATGCCGACAAGATTTTTAGGATAGGTTCTTATGAATAGGATATGTATTCTTTCTAAGAAACCAGTTTCTAGATCAGGTTTCATTGAATGTATTTTTGTAAAGAGGTTTTTGTTGACAGTTTGACTTGTCAAGTTCAAAGACTTATTTAATGATGACAATTTTTTATTGCTGGTAATATTTTTTTTTTACAAAAAATGTATTGCTGGTAATATTTTTTTTTCAAAAATGTATTGCTGTTAATATTTTTTTTCCAAAAAATGTATTGCTGGTAATATTTTCCAAAAATGTATTGCGGGTAATATTTTTTACAAAAATGTATTGCTGGTAATATTTTTTTCCAAAAATGTATTACTGGTAATCTTTTTAAAAAATGTATTGCTGTTAATATTTTTTCCAAATATGTATTGCTGGTAATATTTTTTCAAATATATAATGCTGGTAATATCTTTTTCAAAAATGTATTGCTGGTAATATTTTTTCCAAATATTTATTGCTGGTAATATTTTTTCAAATATGTAATGCTGGTAATATCTTTTTCAAAAATGTATTGCTGGTAATATTTTTTTTCAAAATTATATTGCTGGCAATATTTTTTTCCAAAAATTTATTTCTGGAAATATTTATCAAAACTATATTCCTGTTAATATTTTTTTTCAAAAATGTATGACGGCTTATATTTTTTTTCAAAAAAGTATTGCTGGTAATATTTTTTCTTCAAAAACGTATTGCTGGTATTAAACCTATTTTATACTTTTATAGTGATTTGACTCTTTTAGGTGTGGGTTAACTGCCCTATAGCTGGGACCTTAACAGGCGCTACCACCCCGG